TAGTAGAGACAGGGTTTCACCATATTGGCCAGGCTGGTCTTGAACTCCTGACCTTAGGTGCTCTGTGCACCTCAGCCTTCGAAAGTGCTGGGATTACAGGTGTGAGCCACTGTGCTCGGCCTAAAATCTGAAACTTCTTGAGCATTAACATGATGTCACAAATGGAAAATGCCACACCTGAAGTCTTGTGACAGCTTGCAGTCAAAATGCAGGCAAACCAAACACAGTTTATTCAACATCCCCAAGGGAAAAATAAAGGTAACTTTAGGCTATGTGTATAAGGTGTATATGAAATGCAAATGAATTTCATGTTTAGACTTGAGTCCCATTCCCAAGATATATCATTCTGTATATGCAAATATTCCAAAATCTAAAAGAATCTAAAACTGGAAACACTTCTGGTCACAAGCATTTCAGTTAAGGGGTACTCAAACTATGTTAGCATATTTTTCATCAGAAACCATGCTAGCTGGAAGAAAGGTAACAGGAAGTGGCACATTATTTTTTATGTGCTGAAAGAAAAGAACTGTCAATCTAGAATCCTAGACCCAATGAAAATACCTAACAAAACATGTATAGGACTTGTATACTGAAAACTAGAAAATGCTGATTTAAAAAAAAATCAAGATCTCCCTGGGCCGGGCACAGTGGCTCTTGCCTGTAATCCCTGTACTTTGGGAGGCCAAGGCAAGTGGATTGCTTGAGCTCAGGAGTTCAATACCAGCCTGGGCAACCTGGCGAAACCTGTCTTCACAAAAAATTTCAAAATTAGCCAGGCGTGTTGGTTCAAGCCCGTAGTCCCAGCTACTTGGAAGGCTGAGGTGGGAGGATCACTAGAGCCCAGAAGATCGAGGCTACAGTGAACCATAATTGTGCCAGTGCACTTCAAGCCTGGGCAACTGAGGGAGATCCTGTCTCAATAAATAAATTAATTAATTAATAAAAATAAAACAAGATCTAAGTAAATGGAGAAACATATCATGCTCATGGATTGGAAGACAGCATAAGTAAAGATATCCCAATTTTGTTAACCAGCTTTAATATAATCCTTATGTAAAGCTTAGTAAGTTTTCCTTGTGGGGGTAAATATATACAAGATAATTCTAAAATTTATATGGGAAGACAAAGGAACCAGTATAGCTAAAATGATTTTGCAAAGCAACAATAAAGTAAGAGGAATTAATTTACCTTATTTCAAGACATATTCAATAGCTATAGTAATCAAGACTATGTGGTATTGGCAGAGGGGTAGGAATAGAGATCAACTGAAAGAATAGAGAACTCAGAAACAGACCCACACAAGGTCGGGTGCTATGGCTCACGCCTGTAATTCCAACCCTTAGGCAGGCGGAGGCAGGTGGATCACTTGAGGTCAGTTCAAGACCAGCCTGTCCAACATGGTGAAACTTCATCTCTACTAAAAATACAAAATTAGCCGGGCATCGTGGCGGGTGCCTGTAATTCCAGCTACTGAGGAGGCTGAGGCAGTAGAATCATTTGAAACCTGGGAGGCGGGGGTTGCAGTGAGCTGAGATCATGCCAGTGCACTCCAGCCTGGGCAACAAAGCGAAACTCCATCTCAAAAAAGAAAAAAAAGAGGTCCACAGAAATCTCCAACTGATTTTTTTTTAATTGTGCTAAAATTTAAATATTTATTTTTAATTGAACAATTCAGTGGCATTTAGTACATTTTCAGTGTTGTAGAACCACCACATTCTATCTAGTTCCAAAACATTTCCAGCATTCCAAAGTAACACTCCTTAGCCATTAGGCAGTTTCTCCCTCTCATCCCTTTCTTTCAGTCCTTGGCAACCAGCAATCTCTTCTGTCCCTATGGATTGATCTCTTCTGGATATTGGAATAAATGGAATCATACAGCATGCTGACCTTTTGTGTCTGGTATATTTTACTCAGCATATTTTGGAGGTTCGTCTACATTGTAGCATGTATCAGTACTTCATTCCCTTTTATGACTACATAATATACCATTGTTTATGTGTATACTAAAATTTGCTTATCCATTCATCTGCTAATGAACCTTTGGGCTGTTTCAATTTGGCTATTTGAATAGTGCTACTATCAACATGCGTGTAACATGTACTTGAATACTTGTTTTTCATCCTTTTGGGAACAGAATTACAGGGTCACATGGTAATTCTATATGTCTTTCTGAGGAACTGTCAAATTGTTTTCCACAGTAGCTGAACAATTTTACATTCCCACTAGCCATGTATGAGGTCATGTTCTAATTTTTCCACATCTTCATGACCACTTTTGGTTATAGCCATCCTGTATCTGCAAAGTGGTACCTCATTGTGGTTTTTATTTGCATTTCTCTAATAACTATGTTGAGCATCTTTTCATATGCTTATTGGCCATTTGTGTATCTTCCCTGGAGAAGCACCTATTCAATGCCAAACTGATTTTTGACAAAGGTATGAAAGCAATTCAGTGCAGGAAAGATAGTTTTATCAACTAATGGTGCAGACACAACTGGACATCTGCAGGTAAAAATAAAAAAAGAATCTTGATCTAAGCCTCACACCTTATATACAAACTAACTCAAAATGGACCATGATTTAAATATAATAGGTGAAATTACAAAAATTTTAGAATGAAACATAGGAGAAAATCTTTAGGACTTAGGGCTAGGCAAAGAGTTTGAAAACTTGACACTGAAAGCACAATCCATAAAAGGAAAAATTGATAAACTGGACTTCATTAAAATTAAAAACTTTTACTCTGTTACAGTTCCTTTTATGAGGATGAAAGACAAACTACAGACCAGGAGAAAATATTTGCAAATAGCATATCCAAGAAAGGACTAGTTTTTAGAAGAATATGTATATATAAAAATATAATATATATAATGTATAAATAATATATATAATATATAAATAATATATATAATATATATTATAAATATATATAATATATAAATAATATAAATAAAAATATATAATATATACATTATATAAATATATATAAAACTCAAGAGTACAAAAAGTCTAATTATAAAATAAGCAAAAGAGAAACAAGCACATGCAAAGAGATTCAACATCATTATCCATTAGGGAAATGCAAATTAAAACCACACTGAGATATCATGACACACCTACCAGAATGGCTAACATAAAATAGTACATAGCGCCAACACTAAATTCTGGAGAGGATGAGGAGAAACTGGATCCCTCATATATGATGGTGGGAATGTAAAATGGTATAGCCAGCTTGGAAAATAGTTTAACAGTTTGTTCAAAAACTAACATGTAACTACCACACTACCCAGCAATTGAACTCCTGGGCATTTATTCCAAAGAAATGAAGACTTTTGTTCATACAAATACCTGTCCGTGAATGTTTATATTAGCTTTATGTAAAATGTGCAATAACTGGAAACAACCCAGATGTCCTCCAGGTGAATGGTTAAACAAACTGTGATGCATCCACACCATGCTACTATCCAGTAATACAAAAACACTAACTGATAACACACATAACAGCCTGGATGTACCTCCAGAGAATTATGCTGAATTTTAAAAAGCCAAGTCCCAAAGGATTATTTATTGTATGATTTCATTCATGTAACATCCCTGAAGTAACATTATAATAATGGAGAACAGACTAATGGTTGCCAAGGCTAATGAGGGTGCAGAACTGGGAGGGGAGTATGTGGCTATAAAGGGTCACATGAAGGATACTTGTGATGATGGAAATATTCTATATCTTGACTTTCCATGTAATCTTGTCGATATCCTAGTTGTGATATTGTACTGTGATTTTGTAATACGTTATGAGAAGCTAGGTAATAGGCACACAGGACCTCTCTATCGTTTCTTAAAATTAGTGTTAATCTATACTTATTTCAAAATAGAGTTTTACTAAAAAATGAAGGCCAATGAATATTGACAACTGAAAATAAATAATTTACTACTCCTTAACCAATTCTCAGATAGTCTGTTTTCTGGAATGAAATAGATTCATGTTTTGTTTGCTTATAAATAAATTGAATTATTTTACTTTGGCATGTTATTTTAAAATGAAATATTTATGGAAACTTAAATAATAGTAATGGAAATATCACTTGCCAAACTATTGCACTGCTAATACTTTTTCTAAATATGGACTTTTCCACTTATTTTTGTAGAAGTAGAAAATTCCTTTATCAAGTATGTTTTGAATCTTAAGGTATCTAATTTTACTTATCTTAGTTAATTTTAGTAAGGCAACAATGGCCTCCAAATTCAATCCCGGCTCCAAAATATTTACCATGATATGTAGGCAAAGAGTTCCAAAGATAGTGATAATTTTAAAACCACTACATACAAGTTACAAAGAAATGTATATAATATACAGAGAAATTTTCCTTTTCTTTCCATACTTGGCACAATACTTCTCAAGGTAAATCCAATTCCCTAGATCAAATATTTAACACAATGACTATTCTTTTCAAGCCTATGATAGTTTTCATTTACAAAATTTAAAAAATTTTTACCTTTTCAGAGACAGGGTCTCAGTCTGTTGCCCAAGCTGGAGTGCAGTAGCATGGCCATAGCTCACTGTAACCTCAAACTCCTGGGCTCAAGTGTCCTCCTGCCTGAGCCTCCTGAGTAGGTGGGACTACAGGGGCACAGCATTGCACCTGGCTACCTTTTACAATTTTTTTATAGAAACGGGCTCTCACTATGTTGCCCAGGCTGGTGTCAAAACTCCTGGCCTCAAGCAATTCTCCTGCCTTGGCATCCCAGAGTGTTGGGATTACAGGCATGAGCCACTGTGCCTGGCCTGCATAATATCATTAAATATTATTTGACATTATATATAAATTTAATATTATCTATATTAAATTTATCAAACCCCATATGAATTTTGAATGGAAGGAGAATGTGTCTGATAGCATTTTACAGAATTCAGTATATCTCAAAAACTATTTTGAGTAATATAAGAAACAAAATTTAGTTAGATATACCACTAATTTGCTAAAAATATGTTTATCCTACAAAGTAAGGTAAATCATTACTACTTGAGGTAAGAATAATCATCACATTATAAAAATGGAAAAAGGACATTTAATAAATAAGCTATAAAAAAGATCGATTTTGTTTTCTTTCAACTTATATTTACCCTTTTACTTTTTAAGACTCATAAGAATAAGAAAAGATGCTGGGCATAGTGGCTCAGGCCTGTAATCCCAACATTTTGGGAATCCGAGGCGAATAGATCACTTGAGGTCAAGCGTTCGAGACCAGCTTGGCCAACATGGTGAAACCCCATCTCTACAGAAAGTACAAAGATTAGTTGGGCATGGTGGTATGTTTGTGTAATCCCAGGTATTTGGGTGGCTGAGGCACAAGAATCACTTGAAGCTGGGAGGCGGAGATTGTAGTGAGCAGAGATTGTGCCACTGCACTCCAGCCTGGGTGACACAGCAAGACTCTGTCTCAAACAAACAAACAAAAAACAAGAAAAGAAGTTGCCAAAATAGTGCAGAGAATCCCAATCTACTATTCACCTTACTTTCCCCAATGATAAGATTCTACATAACTATAGTACATTATCAAATCCAGGAAATTAACATTGATATGTTATTAACTAAACTAGAGACTATTCATTTTTGTTTGTACATAAACTTGTTTTTTTCAGTGTACAATATGATAAAATTTTATCACATATAGATATGAAAATTATTAACAAATGGATGGTTATTTGAAGCCATAGTGTTAAGGGAGATGACCCCATAAAGGATTTAGAGAGAGAAGGGTTGAGATTAGAACCCTGGTAAATGTAATAATTAAGGGATGGGTCTAGGCAAAGAGCAGTGAATAAAAAATGAGAAGAAATGGTCAGAGAGGTAGGAGAAAAGTTAAGATAGAGTGAGGTCCTGGAACCCAAAGGAGAAAAGGGTTTTAAGATAAAGGGAGCAGCTGCTGTAGAGATGAGAGATAAAGTAAAGACTAAAAAGAGTCTAATGGACCTGGAAAATTGGTCATTAATAACTTTTGCTAGAGCAGTTGTGGTGGAATAGTAGTTATGAAAGAATGAATGGAGGGTAAGTAAGTAGACATAGTGAACTGTGGAACATCTAATGAGGTAGGTAGAGCAGTGAATGCAGACCGAGAGAAAGAAAGATAATAAATGAGGTGATAATCCAAACAGAACTAAATATACATAGGAAGAGATGTTATGTGGGAAAGAAGACGGGCATTTCTGATTTCGAAATAACTGAAGAGAAAACAATATATCTTCCTAATGAGTCATGTTAAATATCTGTAACCACAAAACATTTTTCCTTCCACTAGTGTTAGTGTGAATCAACTCAACAAATATTTATTGAACACCTACTCAAGCTGGATTCTTCCAGAGAAACAAAGATAAGTAAGACTGGATTGCTGCTACCTAAAAAGCTTGCAGTTTAATATTGGAGATATAATTTTACACACTATTCCAACTTAGGTTGGGGGAATGAAAAGGAGCTAGCCAAGAAAAAAGCATTCTAGGAAGAGGAAACAGCATGAGTAAAAGCATAAAGAAATAGATTGGTTTTCAAGATTTCAAAGAAGAGGTGACAAGCAAAAGGTAGAGCAGAGAGGCAGGGGGCAGACAAATGCCTAGGCAGAAAAGGGTGGGACCTCAGTGAAATCCAACCTTCAAGCTGGAAACAGTCCTGTGAATATCCTCCAACCAGACTGAGAACCTGCCTTCCTGTTTGGCTTGCTTTCTTCTGATTAGTCCCCATCCGTCACCTATTTTACATACACCTGTTTCTAATTGATTTTCTAATTGATTTTAGAAAATATCCGTTTCTAATTGATTTTCTACACTATTGTGCCCACCTTAACCTTTTTTACATACCCAAAAAACAGTGAGCACACACTCCCTATTCTGAACCCATAAAAAGCCCTGGGCTCAGCCATGTTGGGAACTCTACTGCCTTTGGGTAAGGAGACCACCCCTGCTTCCCCTCCCTGCTAAAAACTGTTTCATCACTGAGTAAAACATCCTGCCTTGCTCACTCTTCACATGTCTGTGTACTTACTTCTTTCTGGTCCTGAGACAAGAACCCAGACCTAGCTGAGCTAAGGAGCAAAAAATCCTCTATCAGCAGTTGGAGACAAGGTTTGAGAGGTGAACGGGTCAGATTTTGAAGGACCCTGAAGACTTTAGTGAGGACAGTGGCTTTTATTTTCTGTGCAATAGGAAGCCGCTGACGGATGTTCATCTCTGAAAGGTTTACAGTATTCAAAATTTAATTCTGGTTGCACTGTCGAAAATGTGCTTTGGGGGAAGGATGGGTAAGAGATGGTGGTGGTTTAAATTACAGCAGTAGCAACATAAAAGGAAAGAAATGGATGATGTTCAGATACAGAGTTGGAGCTAGAATTTGCCTCTTCATGCTCCTCACTGCTGAGTCCACTAATGTGATTCTTGAGCCAATCCTCATGGAAACAAGAACTTTAACTGTTTCTGGCTCCAAATGATGGACTAAGGGGAACATGATTACTCAGTCCTGATTGCTGTACTTGCCACAACCAAGTCCTGATCTACAAGTCCCAGTGCTGACCACTGGAGGATGTGCATGGGTGCCTTGGTGGTACTCACTTCTCTTTAGTGCTCTGGATCTCTTGTAGAGCCTGTATTCAGGCAACAGGTCAAACTGAGCTTCTGTTTTAGTCCCAATTACAAGTGAATGAACCTTGAGAATCATGACAGTGTCAGAGTCACAGTTATGTCACTAGCTTGTCTCATCCACTAAATACTTATTGAATGAACAAACAAATTAGCCCTATGGGGAAGACAGGAATCCCCATTTTACAAAAGGAAATTTACACTCATACTAAATCTGGCCAAAATGACATCAGCAATAAGCTGTATAGTCAGAATGCAAACTCAGATCTCTGACTCCAAACTCTATTAAAATTTGTAGATATATATATATTTTTAAACCAAAGCCAAAATAAAAGTTAACTGGAAGTTTCAGGGCCCATATAAAATGTGTTAAAAGGAGGCACCCTCAGTATTTCTTCCTTCATGAGATACCTTGAGGGATAAATTATGTTAATTGTCATTGACTGCTTCTGAACTTTATTTCTGTTGACCGTTAGTCCTGATAGTCATATATAGCACCCTTTTGATATTCATTTTAATCTGATTGAATAAAAACATTGTATCATCTTAAATATGCAATCAATAATTTTAACAACTGAGAATGTCCTTTTCAAATGGTATTTACATATGCATACTCTGAAAATCTAAAAGAAAAAAGATAAAGAAATGAAAAATAGAGAACCAATGTTTTATAGTTTGGTTAAATAAAAAGGCAAAAGATAAATGTGGTTTCAAAGCTTTAAAATTTTGAATGTAAAATTCAGTGTCTTCAGGATGTAAGTAACATAATTCAACCCATCTTCCATTGACGTTATAACTAATATAATGGGAACAGCAGTACCCTCTTGCCACACATGTACAAAGAAACTTAAATAGATTGTAAGTAAATCACTTCCAAGCTTTCAAGAAGATAATTTCCTAGAGTGTATTTCACTATAATCCACATTTTTTGAAAGCATGAGTATAAATGTTTAATGACTATATATAGGTTCTAAATTTTATACTCACTCTTTCATGATATTTTTGATTCTTTTCCCTAAGTGTCTTTATTTGAAACATGAATCGCTCTACTGCATTTTCCTGTATTTGACATCTGGGAATCAACAAAGATAAAATGTGTTAGAATCATTTATCTTAGGAAAAATTCATAAGAAAAATTTAAAAAGTATTTGAAGTGATTAAATACATTATGAAAACACATTTAGGGATAAAAACCCTTCCCAAATGGTTTTCTGTTTCTGAATCTATTTAACTCACTAAAATATATATTGGAAAGATAACTTCAAGGTTGTTTTTTTCTTTTAAAAAAAAACCCCTGTTCATATTTTATAGTTATAATTTCATACTTTCGAATTGTGTATAAATAATTTGGCCTAAAGGAAAACAAGGAGAGGGCATACAGAAAACATGCTTTCTAGAATTCTAAAAATATTCAGACAAAAATGATAAACAAAACTAAGACGTTATAAGGGCCAGCACACTTTCTTGAAATATTAAGGTAAACTAGGCATGCCTATTGGTTCAAGTTCATTAGCATGCCCTCTCTTCTACAAATAGTAAAAACTTCTTTTCTGGCACAAATACATTTCTTTAATACTCAACAACTATTTGTTGAGTGTCTGTTAGGTATGAGAGAAAAGTGTAGAAAGTCTTTTGTATAGGCTATTTGATAGCTATTTGAGGTTTTAAGTATAGTATATCTCTTTAAAAATTTGCTGGGTATGGTGAGTCACACCTGTAATCCCAGCATCTGGGAGGCTGAGGCAGGTGGATCTTTTTTTTTGAAATGGAGTCTTGCCCTGTTGCCCAGGCCGGAGTGCAGTAGCGTGATCTTGGCTCACTGCAACCTCTGTCTCCTGGGTTCAAGTGATTCTCCTGCCTCAGCCTCCTGAGTAACTGGGATTATAGGCACCTGCCACCACACCTGGCTAATATTTCTATTTTTAGTAGAGACAGGGGTTTCTCCATGTTGACCAGACTGGTCTTGAACTCCTGACATCAAGTGATCCACCCACTTCAGCCTCCCAAAGTGCTGGGATTACAGGCATAAACCACTGTGTCCAGCCAGCAGGTGGATCTCTTGAGGACAGGAGTTCCAGACCAGGCTGGCCAACATGGTGAAACCCTGTCCTTCTAAAAATACAAAAATTAGCCAGGTATGGTGGCGAAGACCTATAGTCCCAGCTACTCAGGAGGCTGAGGCAGGAGAATCGTTTGAACCCAGGAGGTGGAGGTTGCAGTGAGCCAAGATCATGCCACTGCACTCCAGCCTGGGCGACAGAGTGAGATCCTGTCTCAAAGTAAATAAATAATTTAAAAAATTTTATAGTATATCTTGTATCACTATGACCTAGTAAATCTTATAACTTTAAATCTGAGACCAAAATAATGCAAAGGAAATGTGTTATCTAAACCCTTTGGCTCAATTAACAAAACAAAACAAAACCAGAAATACAGCACCTCTGTAGTACAGTGAACAGAAGAGTAGTTAAAGAATGAGAAACTCTGGTTTTAAATCTTGCCCTTACCACTTTTTGTCTACATTATCTCAGGCAAGTCAATTCCCTGTGCCTAAATGTCCAAGCTGTCAAATGGGATAAGAATACCTAGTTCTGCATATTTTCATAAGGATTAAAATAAGAAAGCATATGTGAATGCTTCTAGCATAAAGTAAATGCTTAGTAAATATCAGTTGAATTGAGCTTTATGTTTTTAGCCCTTCCCCCCAGACGTCAGTTATATTTGTGACATTGTATACTCAGTAGAGAGAAAAAGCAGGCTCTTTCTTTCCCAATAATGAGAAAATGCAACATTAAGAAAAATCCTTTACTGGTCATAAAAAGCTCTGTTTGGATATTATGAAACTTGAATTTTAGAGCTGGTTTTCCAGTTCTCTAGGGATATTTAACCTTTAGGCTTTGGCTTACTGTTCCCGAAATAAGAGGATTGATGGAGTGAACTCTATGCTTTCTTTTCAGTTCCAAAATTCTGCAATTTAAATGGACCAGTATTCCCTTTCAAACAGTCATATATACAATGTAGATTTAAAGACCTGCCACTAGGTGCCCAGCATTGTTTTAGGCATTATAGAGATAGTTTTTTTTTTTTTTTTTTTTTTTTTTTTTTTTTTTTTTTTTTTTTTNTTTTTTTTTTTCCCTTTGGAAACAGTCTTGCTCTGTCACTCAGGCTGGAGTACGGTGGCACAATTTTGGCTCACTGCAACCTCCCCTTCCCAGGTTCAAGCTATTCTCCCACTTTAGCCCCCTACCGCACCAGTAGCTGGGATTATAGGCACGTGCCACCATGCCCAGCTAATTTTTGAATTTTTTGCTGAGATGAGGTTTCACCATGTTGGCCAGTCTGGTCTTGAACTCCTGGCTTCAAGTGATACACCCACCTTGGCCTCCCAAATTAGAGAGAATACAGATGTGAGCCACTTGTGCTCGGCCTATAATTTTTGACAACACCTTCATGATCCTTGCCTTCAAGGAATACCTTTTACTGGTTAATAAGAAGTAAACCCGTACATATATTGAAACATATTGTTTATACATTATGATAAATACCATGGGGAAAATAAGAATATAAAAAGGACTGTGAATGGAGGGGACTATTATAGATAGGTGGGCTACACAAAATAGTAAGAAAATAAGGTGCTGTGCTCTTCAGGCTGGGCTTGAACTCCTGGGCGCAAGGAATCCTCCAACCTCAGCCTCCCAAGTAGCTGGGGTTACAGATGTGCACCACTACACCTGGCTTATCTTTGACTTCTTACTTAAAGCTTACGTTTGTGCAAAAATTTTGAAGGAGTGCCTTCTCTACCTCCTGTTTTTCAGGAGATTAAAAAAAGTATTATAAATGAAAATTATCTGAAAAGAATAAATGCAAATGTGCAAATTACTCACATAATTTCTGCAATTATAAATATAGTAATACTACTTCGTTACATGGGTAGAGCAAGCAAATGAATCTCAAGATGTGGTCTTCATTGGTTAAACTGAGTCTATAGATGGGCTTGTGAATGGACAATTTTTTTTTTAACTCATAATCAATTTATTAAAATAACTGACTTTAAGCATCTGCAATGGTGACTTCTACCTCAACTCCTGGCTCAATACTGATGAAAGTAATCTACTTAACAATCTCAGAAGGACTGTGCAAGTCAATGGGTCACTTGTGGATTCTCATCTGGAAATGATCCCATGTCTTAGAACCTTCACCACAAGGTGTTTTTCTTGCAGTGATTCTCAAAGTCTTGGTAGGCATTCAAACTGGTCCTTTCACTTTGAGATTCTTTTCCTTTGCTCCTCTGATAAGTTAGCACACACCTTCTCCAGGGATTTTATCTTGCGGCTTGTTAGAGTGATTCGAATTTGGTAAATTGCCACCTCCAGCTCCATGGGTGTTGTTCTGGTGTCCTTAAAAGCCATGGCTGCTGTGCGGCTTCCTGACCAACTTGTTCCTCAGCAAGAGTGAACAGTGGTGAGTCAGGAGCAAGGGCGTGCGAACCAACAATCCGCAACAGCTACGACCGCGTCTTCCTCAAAGAGAAAGGGCAATTGACAAATTTTCTGGCTGTGGCTGAGAGCTTTCCTTGGTGATGACTGAGCATGCAATTATTGGGCTGGAGACCACGTGCTGCCCTAACCCAACTTCATGGGTCATATTTATACTAAAAAAATTATTTGCTGTTTCTCTGAAACTCTAATTGGGCAGCCTTTATTTCTATTTGATACATCTGGCAACCCCACACTTAAGACAACCACCCCTCCCTCAGAGCATTTAGGAGCAAATGGCCTCAGGCTCTTGTCCATTTCTGCAGTGAGTAGTTCCGGATGATGTGAGTGGCAGCAGCAGGCCTCGGGGGAATTTTGAATGCCCTAAATGTTTTGGCAGCTTCACTGGCCCCCTTGTGGCGCTCATGGTACCTGGGGGTCTAATTTAGCTGAGTCTTCTTTGGCTTCTCTGGCTTCATGAGAGGCGTATTTTACCAGGAAGCAGATGAAGCTTAATTTCAGAACTCGACGCTATTATGGGGACTTCAAGCATCATTGTTCTCTATACACTTCTTCCTTTTTAATATCTCCCCATCTACTCAGTGCCCTAGAATCTGAAATGTCACACTAAGTGCTGAAGCAAGTGGGGTGATAAAAAAACCAATATACATTAAAGGAATTTGAAAAGGATATGGTACTATTCTAAAGCACAGTGACACTAAATTGTTAGTAATACAATATGTCACCTTTTGCCCCTCTCTCTATGTTGTTAAAATGTTAGTAATGTTTCAGTGTTCCCCCCACTCATGCAATTTCATTGAAAATTCTGGGAAGGAAAACAAATTAATTTGAATTCCAAAAAACCTATATTTTTGTGGGGTTTTTTTTTAAACCCATAAACGTAGCAACATCTGTTTTTTTATATCTCTACCAATATTTAATGTAGAAACCTGGGAGACAACAAGTATAAAGGAGAAAATAAAAACTACCAATACTTAGAGATGATCACGTTATAGATTTAGTATTGGCAATATCAGTTCTTCACAAACAACCATAGAAGTTCGTGACCTTGCATTCTGGGAAAGAGTTCCTATATCCTTGAAATTACTTGATAAAAGGGCAGGATTGCTTTGTTGCAGATGTTTTCAGAATATTAACAATCTATACTCACCAGTAGGTAAGAAAGAGCTTGTTTATTGGTGGGCATTTCATCACTGAGTGTTAATACGTTAAAAATTTTATTTCTTGTATCAACAGGCAACAATAATATTGTGTTTGGTTTCATGAGTGTGATTTTGCTTTCAGACAAGATCCAACAATATTTACTCAACAAAGAAACTCTGAGCTCATACTATATATCAGGCTGTGATAGTTACTAGAGGTATAGACAGGAGTAAACAACAGTCTTCAAGGAGCTCACAGTTTGTTGAGGGAGAGCCAAGCACAAATGTCCCGCTATATTTTTCCTTCACCTAAAATATTTTAACTGCTTTATCCATATAAAAACACAAATCTTGGCTAGACCCCGTGGCTCACGCCTGTAATCCTAGCACTTTGGGAGGTCGAGATGGGCTGATCACTTGAGCCCAGGAGTTTTGAGACAAGCATGGTCAACGTAGGGAGACCTTGTCTCTATAAAAACAAACAAACATGGCTCATACCTGTAATCCCAGCACTTTGGGAGGCCAGGGTGGGCAGATCACCTGAGATCAGGGGTTGAAGACCAGCCTGGCCAACATGGCGAAAACCCATCTTTACTAAAAATACAAAAAATTAGTGTGCATGTTGGCGTGTGCCTGTAATCCCAGCTACTTGGGAGGCTGAGGTGGGAGAATCAGTTGAACCTGGGAGGTGGGGGTTGTAGTGGGCTGAGATCATGCCACTGCACTCCAGCCTGGGGGTGACAGAGCAAGACTCTTGTCTCAAAAACCAACCAACCAACAAATCATTGATACAAATAAACTTGACTTTCAAAAAATCTATATCATCTGCATTTTTTTACTCATAACCATATTCTCACCTATTTCTACATCTATATCCATACTTATTGCAGGGAAATGAAGGGAAAATAAGGATAGTTGAGAAAAGAAAAACAATCATTATTCAGAGATGATAATTTTATAGACTGAACATTGGTAGTATCAGCTCTTCTCAAACAACCATAGAAGTTCAAGACTTTCTTGGGATAAATTTGGAAAAAAGGTCAATTGCTCAAAAACCATAAATTAACTGCCTACTCTGTGCTCACTGCTTTATTAGGAGCTGAAAGAGGTATAAGAGGCTACCAGGGGACTCCTGGACAATCCTTCCTCAGATGATGAGAGAGAGTGTCCTGGCTATTTGTCATGTGACAACAGTTCTGTCACTGAGGAACACATGGAATGCATAAATACATAACGCGCGTTCCTTTTCCAGAAATCAGCTCGAAGCTTTCTCAAGCAACCTTTTCCTAACCCCTCTGTCTAGGTCAAATCCTTTAGTTATGCTGTTAAACAGCACCCTACATTTTTCTTTTATAGTACCTTTATTATAGTCATGTAACTTTTTTTTTTGAGACAGGATCTCTCTCTGTCACCAAGGCTGTAGTGCAGTGACACAATCATGGCTCACTGTAACCTTGACCTCCCTGGGTTCAGGCAATCCTCCCACCTCCACCTCCACCTCCTAAATAGGAGGGACTAATTGTTATTTTGTAGAGATGGGGTTTCATCATGTTGCTCAGGCTGATCTCAAACTCCTGGGCTCATCCACCCACGCTGGCCTCTCAAAGTGCTGGGATTATAGGCGTGAGCCACCACACTGTCCTGTCATTTTTTTTTGAAGCTCAGATTAGTGCTTATTGTCTGTCTCCCATGCTTCATCAAGGCAGGAACCATGTGATCCTGTTTGCTTCTATACTTCCGTACCCAGCACTTGATTTGCACTTGGTAGACGCTCAAGTACATATTGAATGAATACATGAATGAAGCACATTTCAGCTTTATGTGAGAAAAGACTAACACTTATCTATTAATTCTCTAAGAATTACACATTAAACACCTACCTCGTGCCAAAAGCTAAAGTTCACAACCCTCAAGGAGCTATTTGTTGGAATAAAACATAAACATAGAATAAATATTACCTGTACTTTTGTCTCCAGCTCCTAGGAATGAGACATTATGAAATGTTATTAAAAGAATTTTCTGTAAATCATTTGGATTTTATATGTAGCCGTTTAGGAAAATGTAAGTTGCAATGTCTAAGAAATAAAAGGTCACATAAAGGGAAATTTTCTCTTCCATTCTTTTTTTTTTTTTTTTTTTTTTTTTTTTTGAGATGGAGTCTTGCTCTGTTGCCCAGGCTGGAATGCAGTGGTGTGATCTGGGCTTACTGCAACCTCCACCTCCCAGGTTTGAGCAATTCTTCTGCCTCAGTCTTCCAAGTAGCTGAGATTACAGGCACACGCCACCATGTCTGGCTAATTTTTTGATTTTAGTCGATACCTGTTTTCACCATGTTGGCCAGGCTGGTTCTTAAACTGCGAACCTCAGGCGATCCTCCCACTTTGGCCTCCTAAAGTGCTGGGATTACAGGCATTAAACACAACATCCAGCCTCTTCTACTCTCTATAAATGTAAACTAACCATTTTATGTTGTATTTTAAGAGGTAAGCTAGCAAGCTGTTGTATGCATTGGTGAGAGTAACCAATAATACAATTGAGGGAGCCAATACCACATTAATGAAAGCTGTTTCATAGCAGCTTTCATTTCATTTCATAACATAGTCTAAGTAGTCATAGGTACTACTTGGACTATGTTATATTAAAAGTTTCAAAAACCTTTAAAAATATGTGCATAGCACAAGAGTGCAATTATGCTTCCAAATCCACATCTATTCTTCTGGCAGCTGCTGCATGCATCATTTCCATTTGGAGTTATGTGAGTCTTAACAATGACTGCCCTTTATATATGGCAACTTTCAGATTTCAGAATAAAAACTTACTGATAGTCTAGAAGTGCTTCACTGGTAGGCAATTTAACTTCTTTTGGTGGCCCATCATGTGTATCCTTTCTGTTTGCTTTCCCTGAGTTTTCCATTGTGCGGGTTAGCTATTAAGAAATATACCTGTTTAGAAAAGAGACATAGGAAAAGTGAAAAATTCCATCTTTTCCTCCCTATTTTTGTTTACTCTAGGTAGGGTAGTACCTCTGGGACTTAATACTGGCTTTCTATCCTGATTGTTTCCATGTCCTCAGATCTAACATTCATCGCAATGGTGGAACATCATGAAATGATTGGATTTTTGATTCTGGGTGAATTCCATGTTTAGCCCACGTATAGCATTTTCTCCACACAAAACTTTCTGAGAGACCCCCTCTCTTATGTTATTCATCTATATCTGTTGCCCCTATCTAGCTCTTTTAAGAGCAAAGAACTGAGCTTTTTCAATCATTTTATTTCTCCATAGTATTTGGCAGAGAGACATTAATTAAATGTCTATTAATTTTTCAAAGAAAATAAAAACAAAACCACAATTTTCTATGAGCACGAAGAAGCTAGGATCCAAAAGACTTACGAATTAGAATCAGGATCCAAAAAATTAGGTTTGGGCACGGTTGTTAAAAAGAGCAAATAAAAGCACACATTGAAGTACTTTTAAAATGATCGAGATTTACAAATGCGAATAATAATAATGTATTAATAATAACTGCTCATCAGCTATTAATTGATTTTATACCTAATAATAAAAAATCAAAAATACTTTTTAAAAGGGAAAATCAAGATCCACTGTTCACAGATGTTTATAGTAAGCAGGAGAACTTTCATGCATTTGGTTTGGGTCCTAAAATAGACTTTTCAGATTATAGTCTTCCTTAACACATTTTTATCTTTTAATTTCCACTGTTCTTAAAAGAATAAGTACCTAGCCTTAAATAAATGTATCAGTAGTTAGGTGTGGTAGAAAGCATATAATATAACCTTTGCAATTATTTGTTTAAATGGCTGGAAACTCTCATGAGAGTGGGGATGATGTAATTCTTGTGCACTACTATATTTCCTCACCAAGCACAACAGACACACAATAATAAATGCTTGTCAGATGAATACAGGAGTGGATGCATGAATGAATCAGGCAGACGTGGGCTTTAATCCTAGATCCAGCTGTGTGACCTGGAATAGGTTACTTAATCTTTTTGAAGAACTTCATTTTCATCATCTGTCAAGGGAGAAGGATAACAATTCTACTCTAAGAGCTATTGTAAGGATTAAATAAGCTAATATTTAAAGCATAGTGTCTGACATATAGAAGAAGGGCATATATCTGTAGCTCTATCTCTGTTTAGTGCCCCTTCCTCTTTCCCTTTAGTTGTTGCTCCAGGTCAAGCTTCTTCAAATTCTGGGTAACTGAAGCATAGAATGTCTGCCGGCTGCCAAGTACGATGATGTGTGGAAAGACTAATTCATGAGGTTTGCTATTGGCAACTTTCATTGATTTGGATCACTGAATTGGCAATCCACACAAATCTTTGTAGACTATTCAGCCTCAAAGTGGAAAAACTTGTTAAAATGAAAACATGCTTTTTCTCTATAGACATGCTGCTTGCAGACTCAGACCTCCAGTGAGGCTGTCTTTATGTCTGTGATTTTTCTAACCAAGTATGCACTACTCTATACAGTAACAAATTTCAGTTTATACATGAATGCAAACATACCACAATACTTTCCATCTGAAAAGCATGCAGATGACACAACAAAAAGATTTAGTACATTAAGTAGTATCTTCTCAAATATGAAAGTATTGGGAGTAATAGGCTCCACATCAGAAAGTGTTATCATGATACCACCCCAGTTCACAGAAAATTATCAGCTAAGAAAAGATTACTCTTTTGTTTCAGATGCAGAGTTGAATTTTTATATTATTTTCCATTTTAGAATTAGAATTTTAAACTTGACTGTTGCACAAAAAGCATACTGACAAATGTTTCATTTCAAAACAATAACTTACTATTTAGTAATACTTTTTACTATAAAATATTTTATTTAAAAGTTAAATGTCAACATTAATCTCTTTCTAAGTCATATGGAAGAGATCAAGTGTTATGGTTTTTACCTGCGGTACCCATCTGGTGTTGGAAGAAAAATGACCTCATCTTGCTGAATTACCTTAGTTACTTGGCTTTTATGTTTTTAACTCTTTGACTAATGTATAATTACTTACTTAACTGCAGCTCATGGCAAAAGATTTTAATAAAATGAGTGAAAATGTGGACCCATTAAAGCATAAACTCTATTAAGATTCATTGTTTCACACACTTTAAGAAAATTAGTAAGCCAATTGGACTTCCTGCTTAACAGCTGCATTTTTGTGATGAGCTAATGATAGTATCTCAGTATCTATTTTTGCATTTGATAATGCTGTATAAACCATGGGCACTTTCATAAACATTTACGAGGATTCACAGTTCCTGACCAACCAGATTTCTCTCAGTAAAAGGTGATAATCCTAGAAAAATATTCACAAAGTAAATACAATTATCTTCCAGGAAGGTTACACTTAGAATATCCGACAAATGGACATAGAATCCATCAGTAACTACAAACATCTATTCAATGCCTGCCCTGTGCATGGTGCTTTCATGACCCCCGGGTTTCATACAAAGTATAAAAGAGGCAAGACCCGACTCGGACAGATAGGAAGAAAGAAGCACACTGCAGCAGAACTTTTAAAAAAATGAACAGCTTTAAAAGACTCTAGCAAAATCCTACAGATAATGCTAGGGAGATATTCACCCAGCATGTGACCTCCCTTTTGTGTTCATGTGTGTTTTCCTCTCCCAACTGTGTTTGGGGTCTCTGAAACATACACCATAATGTAAGGACAGGTGAACATCACCTTTCCAGGATCTACTCCATAATCATTTTCTGTCATAAAATCTTTCAATAAATATTTCCCAAATGCCCTCAGTGAAAAGTCAGAAGTCTGTTTACTAAAAGTAGACATATTGCAATCATTTTTTTCATATATACTGTTACCCCATACTGCGTTGGCTCTGCAAAGTTACCTATAGAACATAGAGTGTGTCCCTTCCTGCACTGTCTCAGGATCCTGGCTCAGTATCTAGAAAGCTTAAAATAAATGATTTTTTTTTTTTTTTTGAGACAAAGCCTGGCTCTGTTGCCCAGGTTAAAGTGCAGTGGTGCCTAGGCTAAAATGCAGGCTCACTGCAACTTCTGCCTCCCAAGTGTAAGTCATCCTCCCAGTTTAACCTCCAGAGTATCTGGGATTACAGGCACATGCCACCATGCCTGGCTAATTTTTATATTTTTTTAGAGAGAGTGTTTTGCCATGTTTCTCAGGGTGATTTTGAACTCCTGAGCTCAAGCGATTCACCCACCTTGGCCTCCGAAAGTGCTAGGATTACAGGCATGAGCCACTGCACATAATTCTGTGGAGGCTGGGAGGGATGGCAGTTCTGCCCTAATACCTTTCTGGACATATAAAATGGATCTTGAGGTTTGATAGCTAATGTTTTACATAAATGTACATTAAAATGAAAGATATTTAGTTAATAGCATTAGTAATGGCAGAAGTTCGGAATAAGATTCCATCAAGGCATAACAGTATGATATAAAATATTTCTATTTGGGTGCTAGATGTCTTGAAGTCTAGTCATGGCTCAGCCACTAACTAGCTAGAAACTGAGCCATTAACTGCACAGTTTTGAACTGCAGTTCCCAAATTTTATTGGATTCTCAGCTATAAACTGTAAGGCTAATAAAAGTAGTAGTATGGTAGTAATGCAGTACTTCCAAAAGCCTTATTAAAGAGCAATCTAACTTAAAAGGTACATACTTCACTATAATGTTAATTGCAAGGCTGACATACATATTCAAAAACATTCATGGTACTCATCTTCAACAAAGTACAATTCCTTTAATGCTAGTGACACGTAACTACTTCAATAAACCCTCATCTTTGGGAATTCAAAAACAGATGTTGTATCCTTTAATATTTAAATTCATCTTCTTGAGAAGCCTCTTCTTATTGTCCTAACTAGTGATAAATAACCTCGCCTTGTGGCCCCACAGCAATTTGTACTTTTTTTTTTTTCACCATTTATGGCTTGTAATAGACAGTGTCGATTGTTTCCATCATTGTGTTCATGTGTATTCAACATTTAGCTCCCACTTATAATAAGAACATGCAATATTGCTTTTCTGTTCCTGCATTAGTTTGCTTAGGAAAATGGCCTCCAGCTGCATCCATGTTGCTGCAAAGGACACGATTTTGTTCTTTTTGTGGCTGTGTAGCAGTCCATGGTGTATGTGTACTACATTTTCTTTATCTAGTCTACCATTGATTGGCATCTTGGTTGATTCTATGTCTTTGCTACTGTGAATAGTGCCACGATGAACATGAGTACACGTGTCTTTTTCGTAGAATGATTTATTTTCTTTGGGGTATGTACCCTAAGTATAGTAGCGGGATTGCTGGGTTGAATGGTATTTCTGTTTTAAGTTCTTTGAGAAATCTTCACAATGCTTTCCACATGTTCTTTAACATTCCCACCATAAGTGTTCCCTTTTCTTCTGAACCTCACTGACATCTGTTTTTTCTCTTTTTAATAATTGCCATTCTGATTGCTGTGGGATAGTATCTCGTTGTAGTTTTGATTTGCATTTATCTAATGATTAGTGATGATGAGCATTTTTTCATATATTTGTTGGCCTGATGTATGTTTTCTTTTGCAAAGTATCTGTTCATGTCCTTTGCCTGTTTTTAAGTGGTGTTATTTGCTTTTTGCTTGCTGAATTAAGTTCCTTATAGATTCTGGATATTAGACCTTTTAAGGATGCATGGTTTGTGAATATTTTCTCCCATTCTGCAGGTTGTCTGTTTACTCTGATGACAGTTTCTTTTGCTGTGCAAAAGCTCTTTAATTAGTCCACTTGTCTATTTTTTGTTGTTGTTACAGTTGCTTTTGGGGATTTGTCGTACATTCTTTGCCAAGACCAATGTCCAGAACGGTATTTTCTAGGTTTTCTTCCACAGTGTTTATTGTTTTAGGTCTTACATTTAAGTATTTAATTCATCTTGAGTTAATTTTTGTATGTGGTAAAAGGAAGAGGGTCCAGTTTTAATCTTCTGCTAGCCAGTTATCCCAGTACCATTTAATAGGGAGTCCTTTCCCTATTGTTTGTTATTGTCATTGTCACAGATCTGGTAGTGTGTCGCTTTATTTCTGGGTTCTCTAACCTGTTCCATTAGTTTATATGTCAATTTTTGTACCAGTACCATGTTTGGGTTACTTCAGCTTTGTAATATAGTTTGAAGTTGGTTAGTGTGATTCCTTTGGCTTTGCTCTTATTGTTTGGGGTTGAATTGGTGATGAAGGTTCTGTTTTGGTTTCACATGGATTTTAGAATAGTTTTGTCTAATTCCATGAAAAATGACATTGATAGTTTGATAGGAATAGCACTGAATCTGTAATTGCTTTGGACAGTATGGCCATTTTAACATCGATTCTTCCAATCCATGAGCATGGAATGTTTTTCCATTTGTTTGTGTTCATCTCTGATTTCTTTCAGCAGTGTTTTATAATCCTCATCGTAGAACTCATTTACCTCCTTGGTAAGCTGTATTCCTAGTTGTTTTTTCTTTTTGTTTTTTTAGACACCAAGATTTTTATTTACCCACCTTCCTGCTTTTTTTTTAAACATAAACATTATAGACCAAATTATTCTCTTTTTGACCCAGGGTTGTGATAGGAACTATCTTGTTACAAAGTGGTAGTAGATCTATGCTTGCTTTCATGTTTTTATGGCCACTCTCTACCTCTGGCTGTCAGTTCTCTGTCCTTTCTCAGTTGTCCCTTAATAGTCTATTCTAATTCCTATAAAACAGGGACTAAAAGTACCAAATCTCATTGTTATGAGGTGTAAGAGAAGGTCCAGCACTAAGCCAGGCTCTCAGGAAAATTCAAACAACAGCTCTTCCTTGCCCTTCAGTATAGCTGCTTCTTATCTGTCATGGGCTGAGGTATTATTGAACCTATAAACCAAGCACACGTGTATAAGTCCACAGACGGGGTGAAGGCCTAGATGGTAAAGTATATGGGTTTTGTGACTCCATTACTGACTTCCAGGCAAAGGAAGGACTAACTTAATGAGCAGTTTCAAGACCACTGAATTCCTAGTTCCCTGTGGCTGTCTTCCTTGTACCTCTATCATGACCAGGGCTTCAGGAGGAGCCTCTCAATTCCCCTTGCCACACTTGGAATGCTGTATGAGGGATGCAGCAGAGGCCAAAAACTGAGTGACCAGCCCCAGGGAGTCAATAAGGGACACTGACAAACCAATCACTGGTGCTATTTGCTCTTAGGGAGGAGAGACAGGGACTGGACAAGGACAACAGTTGGAAGGTGAAGGGCAGGTCTGGCTTTCAGTAGTGGTAGTGATCTGGTGTGAACGGGCCATCACGGGAATGCCCAGGTAAAGGGCCTGCATCTCAGTCAGCTTGGTCAATTGCACATTCAGCTTGTCCAGGTGGGCTTTAGCCATTGCCTCATTCAGCTTCTTGGGCAGGAAGAGAACCCCAACGTGGTACTTGTCTGGGTGGGTCTGCAGCTCAATCTGCGCCATCACTTGGCTGGTGAAGGAGTTACTTATCATGAAGCTGGTGTGGTCCACGGCACAACCCAGATTCACCAGCCGACCCTCAGCCTGCAGGATGATGTGGTGCCCATTCTTCAGCTAATACTGGTCTACCTGGGGCTTGATGTTCACCCTTTCCACACTCTTCTTGTTGAGCCACTTTACATCAGTCTCCATGTCAAAGTGTCCAGTGTTACACATGATAGCATTATTCTTCATTTGCTCAAAGTGCTGGCCAAGGATGATGTTGACACAGCCTGTGGTGGTGACAAAGGTGTTGTCCTCCTGGCAGACCTTGTCTATGGTGGTCACCTCATAGCCCTTTGTGGCAGCCTTCAGTGTGTTGATGGGGTCAATCTTGATGATGATGACATGGGCCTGAAACCCCACAGGGCCTGGGCACAGCCCTTGTCCATGTTGCCATAGCCTGCTACCACTGCTACCTTGCCGGCAATCATCAAGTCTGTGGCCCACTTGCCATCTATGAGGGACTCCCGGCAGCCGGAGAGGTTGTCAAACTTGCTCTTGGTGATGGAGTTGTTGACATTGACAGCAGGCACTTTCAGGATCCCAGTGGCCGTCATCTTGTGTAGGTTGTGGACCCCAGTTATGGACTCCTCGAAGATGCCTCGCGTGCTTGACAAGAGCTGTGGGTACTTGATGTGGATGAGGTTGGTGAGGGCCCCACCAACGTCCAGAATCATTTTGAGGAGCCCATCTTTGAAGTATAATGTCTACTTGGTGTACCACAGGTACCCCTCCTCCATTTCGCCCTTCCAGGCATACACTGGAATGCCAGCCTTGGCAATGGCAGCTGCCACATGGTCCTGGGTAGAGATGTTGCAGCTGGACCACTGCACCTCAGCACCCAGGGTAATGAGGGTCTCAATGAGGATGGCCATCTCCACAGTCCTGTGTAGGCAGCTGGTGATGCAGGCACCCTTCAGGGGCTTAGAGGACTGAGTATAGCTCCCACATGCACATCAGATCCAGCATCTGGTTCTCCACAATATCCAGGGCTTTGCATCCCCAGATGGCCAGGCCAATGTCAGCGACTTTGTAGGGCAGTTTCTCAGACATGCTGATAGCACTTTTTGATGGCTGAAGGGGGCTAGGTCTTGATCTGGGGACAGGCACTGGGGGTATGGCACTGGGCAGGGGGTTCCTGGGTATTTTATTCATTTTGTGGCTCCTGAAAGCAAGATTGTACAGAATACATTTTTAACTCAATTAAAATGGTTTCCAGTAAATGTTTTTAAAAATCCTGAATTAATTTAAAGCCATTTCATAGTAATAGTACCACTTAAGCATTAGTTTTAAAAATCGAGACCTCTTTTTGTATACATTATGTATATATGATATGGCCCAAAATAGTGTTAAAATGTAAAATTCATCTGGTTTGGAAATGTGTTAAAATCATATTTTAAAATCAAGGTATTTAAAAATATCTAGATAAGTGGCATTTTCGAGTTTCACTTGGATGGTTGATGATGTAAATGTATTTTCTCCATGTATTTTCTTCACCAATGCCAATCCTTCAGTCAGTGGCACATTTTTCTACTGTAGTACCCAAATTATATTGGAGTCTTAGCTTTAAAATTAGTCCGTCTTCTGATCCAGAATTGCTAATATCAAAGTTTGAAATGCAGTATATTACACTAACTTCTCTAGTAACCAGAACTACCTTTTTTCCAAGTCTTAACTGTCTTTCAGTTTTAGAAATATCAACAAAGAAAAGAAAACTATGAAAATATTATTGTGAGGATAAGGAGAAAATATGCAATAATTTCATACTCTGATGGTGGAGAATAAAAAGGCTTCTTTCCACCTTCAAAGAGCAGTAGTGAGTCTAAAGAGGATCTTCTGGAGGTGGCTATAAGGCAATCATCAGTCTATTTCAGCAATTATCACATAGACTGATAAATATCCAGTCATTATTTTTCTCCTCTGTCATAGCAGGAATCTTTCTTTTCCTTTTTGTTTTCTATGGCTTAGACAGGGCACTTTTCCCCATCTCCTAATCACGTGCTCAACTCTCTCTCTTGCCCAGCTGAAAATTATGGGATAAGGAAGGGAGTGAGGAAACAAACATGGTACTGGAAAAATGTGACAGATTCCTAAAAAGGCCAGGTGTAGTGGCTCACACCTGTGATCCCAGCACTTTGAGAGGCTGAGGTGGGTGGATCACGAGGTCAGGAGTTCGAGACCAGTCTGGCCAAGATGGTGAAACCCCATCTCTACTAAAAATATAAAAATTAGCCAGGCGTGGTGGTGGTGCCTGTGATCCTAGGTACTCGGGAGGCCGAGGCAGGAGAATTGCTTGAACCCAGAAGGCGAGGGGGCAGTAAGCTGAGATCACACGACTGCACTCCAGCCTGGGCAACAGAGAGACTCGGTCCCCCCCCAAAAAAATTCATGAAAGAAACCAACTGTTATCTTTAGAAGAATGTTGTAGTATCTAGAGCAAGAAGTTGAAACCAGTCTATGAATTTGGATATGAGGAGAAAAGACATCAACAACACACTTAGCACGTATGAAGAGCTGGTATGGAGAAGGAAACAAGAATATGTGAGGTCCTCACTCAGAAAGAATTCACTAGACTCGGAATTTGATGAGAGAGGCCCTAA